TCACGGCGCTTGAATCTCACGTGCATGAAAGACGCGTGTCCGCTGCAAATCGGGGGGGGGGGGGCCGCGGAAAGGGCTTGGAGAGGGGACAATGGAAACGGAGGCTGTCGTACTTTTGCACTAATTTCAGCTACTTCTCTCTTTCGGGAGTCAATTTTATCTGCCGATCTCGTTCGAGGTTTTCTCCCGCGACACTTTGACAATCTCTCGTACCGTATCGATACGAATCGACTCCCTTTTCAGTCTCTGCTGTATAATTTCCGTCGCGTTAAAAATTTCGGTCGTCGAAGTTCACCGTGAAACTTGTCTGCAGCCGTTTCCACGCCGTCCCCTCGCGCTTTCCGCGACCGTCTTCCTTACCGATTAACTTGGAATGAATTGCGAACTGACAGCGAGCTAATTTCACTCGCTCTGCCATTATCCTAGCGGTTATTGTCCTTAACGCGGTCTCCCGTTATCCAGACACGTCGTAGTTTGTATATCATTTTTGTCGTCGGTACGAGATATCAGAGGCCAAAAAAAAACGATTTAGTCGGATTCACGCGTGTACATTGTCGAGCGATATCGGGACGAGGGGGGGCAAAGGGCTGACAAGAGACGTCTCGACGCGCGCGCGCGCGCGTCGCGACTCCGATCCCTCGCAGCCTCCCTCTCCCGCCTCCCCGCCGCAGTCCCGTAAATCCCTGTCGCCGTTCTAACGTCAAACGTTCGAGCAAATCTGTTAAATTCCTGGTATTCGCGCGTCACTAGGTGCAATCTTCAAACGAGTTCCTATGCAAAGAGAAAAAGGAAAGAAAGACCGTCCGTTCGTCCGCGCGTTGCCGATTGCAGCGTCATTCGCGACAACAACAATTGCGGTTCCCGCTTGGCTTCGCGATCCCTCCGACCCCCCCCCCGCCCCCCGCCGCCGAGGACGCGTCCCGCCCGATTCGCGCCGGTACGAAGAAGATCACCGCCGGTTATCGTCGCCGCCGAAGCGAATTCATCACCGAAGCGGATCGTCATTGTCCCCCTCCCCCCTCCCCCCCCCAAGTTACCGTCGCGATTGACTCGGTGTCAATCGTTGATCGATAGCTGCAACTCCTGCATGGTATCGATTTGCAGGGCGCACACGCAGCCTACGTAGAGCTTCATCGTCTCCTTGTCGTCGTTGCCGTAGGACACCTCGATGTACCTGTAGGTTTGTACGCAGCAGTAGGTGCTGGCGCCCTGGCAGCTGCTGCCGATGTGGTTGCACCTCACGTGCTCCAGGTCCTTCGGTACCCGGGAGCCCCGGACGTCCGGTATCGACTCGACGGTGTAGTTGCAGATGGACCTGCCCTGCGCCTGCTTCACCTCCAGCTCGAAGGGCAAATTACCGTTCGCGGGATGCAGCGCGTTGCCGTTGTTCGCGCTCTTTGCGTTCAGGTCGCCGAGTCTCTGATAGAACGATGCACCGTCGTGCTTGTTGTGACGCTTCCTCCTGGCGACGAGCCCCAGCGAGAGCGCGTCGAAGTCGTCGCCGTCGCGCAGGAAGGACTCGCGACCCCTTGAGTCGTACTCCTGTCCGTATCGACGGAAGGACGGTGGCACGCGTTCCTCCGAGTCCTCGTATTCCGAAGAGCGATCCGGAACCCGGGGATGTTCGCGCCTCCTCGCCCGTCCGTAGGAGTCGCGAAGGTGCTCCAGATCGTCCTCGAGGCGCCCCGACAGATCCCGCGGCAGCGACTCCTCGAGATTGTAGTAGTCCGAGTGCGAACGGTGGCCGTGCCGTCGCCTTAGACTCCGACCTTGAACGAGCGGCGTGCTGACGACGATACAGACGACCAGAACGGACAGGCACGATCCGACGCCGAATGCCATTGTGTGTCGATCTCCGAAATTTTTGCACGAAAGGTAGATCTCCCCTTGCGGAGGTCTTTGCGCGATCTTTATCGACGATGCGGCTGCTTTCGCTCTCCTTCTTCTCAGCCCTTTGACACCCGGAACGGACCTCGGCTCTCTTTTGCTTTTCGTCACGTAACTCTTTTCCAACGCACTAATCTCAGGATTCTTTTCGTTTTGCTCCTATCACGCTTCTTAATCACAGTGGAATGTCCTTTCACTTAAATATATATATGCGAGATGACAGAGACCAGGGATAGAACCCGAGTCTTTCGCCTGACAGATGCGATTACTTTTCCCCACTGAACTTGTTTATTAACGACGTCGGCTTATCTTCTGGACACTTGCCGAGTAATTTCTGTCGATCGTTTACGCGACTGCGACGGGAATGTGATAATAGACGAAGCAATCGCGATCAAAGCCGATAACTGCCGCCGAACGAGATCTCGTCGAGCTCTTAACCGATTGATTTTACCACCGAAAATGGATTATCCTCCGGGGTCGCTCTCGCCTATCGAATTTCCCTCGAAATTGCACGAAATTGGCGGTGCGTGTCTCAGCGCGACACTGGAAGGCGCGAATGCGCGGCGCGGCGTTTCGAGGCGGAATTTCTCAAGTTCGACCGGTCGTCCGGCGAATCTTTCGACCACGTGACGCAAGTCGAAAATATTTCAACAATCCGGCTGCCTTTCGGCCCAGATGCCGCGCGATTCTCTGTGATGATTCGCCGATCAAAGTTGGGCGCGCGGCGCTGACCAGCGCAAGATTCGCGAGGGTCTCGGTGACTCTGCGGACTCCCGGCGGGTTCCCTCAGCAAGCTCGGGACGAGGCGGCTATCTCTCTTCGTCTCGGCTCGATCGTCCCGCTTAATGGCTAGTTTAAAACTGAGTATTCCCTGATCCTCGAAGGATTTTTTATCCTATCCGCGAACGTGCACGTGGGTGGTACTGCCCCACTTTAACGGGGGGCTTGCGCCGGTGTATACACGAAGACGTGACTAATCCCCCCCTCTCCTTCGTCCGCACCTTGTGCAGCCCCCGGGTGCCGGGGACCCAAGAAGAGTGTCTTGGTTCGCGCGGCTCCCTCTTCTTCGAGGATGCGCGCCCTCCTCTTTGACGTCACGAGTTCCCTCTCGGTGGACCTGCCATCTTCGTCGTCGACGTCGCTTCCGCCGCCACCTCTGCCGCCGCCGCCGCCGCCGCCGCCGCCGTCACCGCCGTCGCCGCCACTGTTCCCTTAAACATGGATTTAGTATCGCTATCCATCTCGGGCATTGACGTCACACACTCGGTGTAATGCCCACCTATAGCGGAAAGAGGAGAGACCAAGTGCTTCGCGGAATCCCGCTCTCGGCAATATCCTCACGTATGCCACCGCGAGGATGGTGGCGATGACGATGACGATTACGCGCAACGGGGTTTACTTCGAAAGTGGTAACGCAACGCCTTTCCCTTTTGACGTTTGACGCGCGCGCGGCACAATTTTTCCGTCTTGACGTTCGCGCGCCGCGCCGCGCCGAGCCGGCGCGCGCGCTGGCACGCGAGCGCACGCGAGTCACGCGTACGGGCGATCGTTTCGAGGGAAAGGACTGCCGGTTACCAATTACCGTCGACTCTTTCCTGAACTCGGCGCACTTCGCGGGATTTACCGGTGAGACACCACGCGGAAGGTCGAAGCACCGGGGGCACGGACCGTCCCGTTCCCGATTGCGCGCCCGCGGACGGCCCGATCGCGCTCGGAAACGTCACCCGAGCGCCCTAGTGTATCGTTTTATCTCTGTTGCCCACCGCCACGGTGGACGAGGGCAAAACGATGCGCTGGGGTGCACGAGTGACGTTTCCGAACGCGGCTTAGACTTAGCTGGAGAGGCGGCGTGGACCTGTCGCCGTCGCCACGAGGCGGCTGTCAAAAAATTAAACGTCGCCGCTACCTTGCGAAAGCATATAAAATGACATTTACACGCAAGCACGCTTGCCCCTTCCATCACTCTCCCTCTCTTGAGTAACGCCGTACCGGCTGCACGTTCGCGTGAACCAGTCGAGGTGGAATCATCCGGTACTCTCGCAGGGTTCCCGGACGTGCCTCCGTTTTTTTTAGAAGGTCGAAGAACGCGCGTATCGTGAAAGCGCTCGGAATTTTTACTAACTCCTACCCATCACCTACGGTTTTTTTTCCCCCCGTTCGTCTAGCCCGTCCGCGCGTGTGCGTGCACACGCACGCGGGTGTGTATTTCGGAGACGGAAAAACGTTCGAAATTCGAAAATGTACAAATTTATTCGTCGCGCACGAAAGAGGCGCGCGACATTGAAATGAGATTTCCTAACGCGGCGTAAGCGGCGCGGTACACGGCCGAGGATATTTCTGGCCTTAAAAAGTCCTCGGGGATTGCCGAATTTCTATTTATTAATTTCTTTCTCGTGATTTATTCGCACGGTGCGCTGCCGCGATTTCGTCCTTTATTTGTCAAAATTTCTCTTATTTTACCTCCTCCCATTCAAAATTGAGGCATTAAAGTTATTAATATAAGAATATATTAATGCCTTTTCCCATTTTTGGAATTTAGTTACAACGCCAGATGGTACCAGGATGTCGGAAAAACAAAGAGAGAAAGAAAAGTAAGAATAAAGCTGATCCCCGATTTCGCAGATTAGAAATTTAATATCCCAGAATAAATATTAACTTTTTCTAAGTTCGCTCGTTTTTTTTTGCAAGATTGATGTAGAAATTTGTTCTGCAACACTATTTACGTTATGCTAATGTTGTTGTTGTTGTTGTTTAAATACATCCTCGAATTTTCGGGCGAATCCTATTTGACGGCAAAAAATTGATATATTCGTCGACGACATTGCAAAAAATTACGTGGAGGAGAACAACGGCGGCAACCGGTTTTCTAAACGATTAAAAAAGACTCAATCTCTTATATGCACTGGTGAACAAATAAGACATGCGTGCAATTCGGTTTTCGAGTCTACATATAATATCCTATACGCGAACACGGCCTCCTAAGTATTTTCACCGTCAACAATTTTGTCTGCTGCATTAATTTTGCATTATAACGCGAGAGACCGCGTGCTATTTTTAAGTATTTTGGGTTTTGGGAAATGGAACGTGCGTATTTACGCACTTTGTACATAAAATTCTCTTGGTATTTACTTTTATTCTACAAATATTCAATTTGAAAAGATTTCACAAACCAGATTTCAGACATGTGTATATAACGGGGGAGATAAAATATCAGATCTGTAAATAACACACTTGGAGGTAACTGCCTTTTTGTTTATATAAATAAATCCTCCGGCAGATCGTTTCTCGTTGGGAAGCTCGCGTGTGTGCCGAATTTAAGGACGGATCTCGTGGCGACCGCGCAAGCTCTTCTGATGCACTCGTCCATCGGCAGCTCCGGATGGTACGCCTTGAAATATGCGAGCGCGCCTAAGAATGCATCCCCAGCACCCTGCATCGCATACAGTTACGCTTAGGCTACCTGAGGCAATTTCATCTTAAATACATGCCAATCACTCGAATGAATCACCATAAGTGAATCAGCGTTTCAGTCCGGAAATTGACCGGTTGCCCGCTCAAAAGAGAGCCGGCGAATACCGTCGAATACTTTCACCGTTTCAACCGTCTCGTCTCATAAATCCAGAAACAATTTACAAGATTTGTATAAACTACGAAAACGCGCGTGTACGAATCGTACGCGTAAGAGAAAAATAAAATGAAAATTGCCGCGTAAAATCTAGATAGAAACTGGTCGTACATCAAGTTATTAAAAATAGCGAATAAGTCATTTCCTCAGTTTTATTGAAGAATGATTGAAAAAAAAATCGTGGAATCCACGGTAATTACGACGGTTCTGCGACACACTGTGTATGCAATACGTACGGTAGTATCTACAGGGTGAACCTCGGTAGTGCAAATCCGCACGATGTTTCTGTTCGTCTTCGACGCGTACGCAGCTCCGAGCGGTCCGAGAGTAATGATGATCGCGTTGCATCCCTTAGCCAGGAACTCGTCCGCGACCTGCTGTACGTTCGTCAGGTTCACGGCCTCAACGCCCGTCATAACTTCCGCCTACAAAAGCGTGACGATACTTGTCTCAAACGTAAACTAATTATTTTGTTTCGCCTTAATATATTACGTTTCGAAAAAAAAGAAAGAAGAACCGCATTCCTGTTACTTCACCGATCGCCACGTACCTCCGTCTCGTTGACGCAGAAAATGTCGCATAATCGGAGAATGTTCGGGTCAGGATCCTCCAGCGCGGGCGCCCCATTGACAATGGAAAGTCCTATCACGTTGCGATTACGTATAAATGCAAAAAATGTATCCGTGTCTTTCGGAGCCGCGATATCGCCAGCCTTTGTAAAAGAATCGCCCAAGTCGCTATTACGCACGAAAGATTACGCGTTTATTTGTAATAGCCACAGCGATTACGCAGGACAATGTTGTCGGCCTCGGTCTTTTCTGAGACTCGCGATAGCTCGGCTCCGAAACGAGGGGCCGGATGTACCCGGATACTTTTGACAATGCGGAGCGACTAAAAGGAGTGAGGAACGCACCATGGCCTCGGTGTAGCTGCAACGCACGCAACGTGGCTTTCAGCGGCACCTCGAACTGGCATAATAAAACGCTCGCGCTTTTGATCACGTCAACGGCGGAATCCACGTGCTCCGGAGTCAACGATTCGTTTGCGCCTAACACGATAACGATGCTGTTCTCACCTGCGAACGTTATTCGCCCCGGTTACTTTCACTGCTGCACGGAGAGAATCTTGTCTAAAAATTTATCCCGAAAGTCATGTAATCGTGGAACGACATGGCATTTCGAAAAATTTTAAACTCTCATAAAATTTTACTAGTAAAAATGTATGGCAAAATTTCAAGAAACTGTCGTACAGTTCTTCAAAATGCCACGTTGTCCCATGGTCACATGATTTGCAGGGTAAATTTTAAGAGAAAATTCTCCGCGTGGAGATCCCATAATCAGAGTCTGATCTACAGGCCAGCTCTGGCAAAATTCTGCGAGAGGGAAGGATGCACATTCGCTGGTTCTATTTCTTTCTCTTTCTTTCTTTCGGAAGCTGCAGAAATGGAAAGAATGTTCTCACCTGCGAACGTTATTCGCCCCGGTTACTCACTACTAGAAAACCTACAATCAGTCTGGTCAACGGGCCAGCTCTGGCAAAATTCTGCGAGAGAGAAGCACGTACATTCGCCATTTCTGTCTTTTTCTTTCCCTTTCTCCCTCCTTCTCTTTCTTTCCCTCGGGAGTTGCCAGAAATAAAAAGACCAATTAAAAGTTCTTGACCAGACTCTGATTAAAGGGACTCTACTTGCTACTAATGCGACGGGAATATTGGGATCTTCACGAGAAGTGTTCTAATGCCCCGTTATTTATTCGGGCTATTATTTTACTCTCTTAGATTTAGTAGAATTACTTTGACGTCTTCTCGTAAGAATTCCAATTTCGAAAGCACTCGGAAGAATTCCGATTTATATTTTACGACATTGGAAACGTACCACTTTCGGCGACGGTAATGTGAGCGACACCGCTGTGCTTATCGCTTTGAATCCTCACGCGGGACGCGTCTACATTTTCCCTCCTTAAAATCTCTAAGTATTCTTGAGCAAACGTGTCGGAGCCTAACTGTGATAAGAGATAAGAAACCGCAACGCAATGTGAATGTAACGCATAAGGATCATATAGGTAACTTAATTAAAAATAAATAAAATCATATTACATTGCCCCGAATAAGAAATAAATATTAAATAAAAAGAGAAGAGGTCAGAAGATAAATGCCTACTGAAGCAATAAGTGCTGTGGATCCGCCGAGTTTAGCAGCTGCCACGCACTGGTTGGCGCCTTTACCGCCGTATTTCTTTTCAAATCTAGTCCCGACTACCGTCTCGCCGGGTTTGGGCAACCGTGGAGAGAAACTGAAAAGCGACAACGTTTATATTCAAACGACAATAACACACGAAGCTATCTGTCGGATTCACTCGTTAGTCTCTTGCAATATAAGGGCATTGAATGAAATTACAAACTCCACGCACCCCTAACGATATCATTAAAAAAATCTGGGACTCGATTCTTGAATTCATTCAAAGGAGAAACGTATGCGAAAATACTGCCCTTACAGAAAAGTTGCAAGTTGATTGGCTATTCGTATGATTTTTAGCTTATGCCGGAATCGGTAAAAATTAATCAATTACAGTCAACTATTCTCTTCACTTTTAACGGTGATTGGACAATTTTTACCGATTCCGGCATAAGTTAACAGTTACGGCCTTGCATAAACCAGCCTTAAAATTTTACGCACAGTCATAGCGCACAAATATTTAGATATGATATGCCTGATTGGCAATGCTCAATATCTCGAGATATCGAAATGTCCAGGCATTCGTGCCTATCTGTGCACAGATTTGCAGCATTACAGGGCATTAGTTTCGGCATTAGGTCCTGTTGGAATACTATAAAGATAAAATAAAATAAAGTAATGCTGGGCATTAGTAGGCATTGATGTATATGATTTTGGTCAGCGGTTTACCCCTCGCGTTTCCCTTTTGAATTAATTCAAGAATCGATACCTTTCTAAGATGCATTCTTCAATTCATTCGCAAGAGAAACGTACGCGCGAATTCTGCTCTTACAGAAAAGTTGCGAGTCGATTAGCTAAGAGTCACGCGATAGCCAATCAACTTGCAACTTTTCCGTAAGAGCGGAATTTGCGTACGTTTCTCTTGCGATCAAATTCAAGAATCTAGCCCGAGGGAACATCTTATCTCAAAAAAATTACCTTTTTAAAAAAGATAACAAAAAGGCGCCAAGTATAAGCGTGCGAACCGAGCAAGAACTGTACGATTTAATTAGTTGGAAATATTTTGTTGAAAAACTAACATTTTTATCTTCTCTACAAAAGTAGTGATAACAACAAATTGCGCCGAATATAACAATGGATATTTATACAAACTAATTGTCTTATTAGTTTTTGATATTAAAATGTTATATCCTAAAACATCAAATTAAAGATTTTATAGAGAGAAATCACGGAGATAATAATTGAAGAATCTAGCCCGAGGAAACATCTTATACTTCGCGATGTCCTCCAAATGTTCTCAGAATCTGCGCGTGTTGTTAAGGACGTGCGCACGACGAGTCTTTTTTTCCCCGCGCAATTATATTACAATGTTCGTTACAACAAACTGCAATGTAATAAAATGGTAATATTAATAATCGCAGATCGATCGTTCGGTTGGAGGCGGAGTAAACTTGTGCGACGCGCAAGAAAGTCTCGGCCTTACTCACCAGGTAAAGTCGATCATGCACGAACCGACAATGACTATCTTTGGTGCCATACTGCACGGTTTTTATTCTCTCTCTCTTTCTTACATACACACAGGCACAGTTTCCTCGCGAGTTAACGTTATTTTCCTGAACGATACCCGCGAAGGTGATTGTTTTCTAGGCGCGAGTGGCGCGATCGGAGCGGACTAACCGCTTGGCGGAGCGGCACGGATAACCCGCGTTATCGCTGTTTGTCATTCGGCGGGTTGGCGAACCAATGAGTCCGGGTGACGTTATCAGTCCGAGGATTTATTTCTTTGCGCGTGACCCCCGATGTGCCTCGTGAGCGACGAGAACGGGATTCGGCGGGCCGAGGCGAGAGGAGTGCCGCGAGACACGTGAATTAATTTGAGCCGCCGTTCTGTCACGGCGAGCGCCAAAAAAGCGGCGTTATTTACAGCAGCGTTCGCCTTGACGCAGGACAGGTTAGCTTTCGTTTCCTTCCTTTTTTTCTTTGCATCTATTATATATGTCGGAACGAAGTTACACGGGGAATGCGGGGGAACGCTCTATCGAAACTCCGCATCGACTTCGCGCCGCTAGGGAAGCGCTCGTTGCTCGACGATTGCCGTAAATCTCACGACGGAAAGAGCGACGTGGAGCGACGGCGCCCACGTACGCACGCTTTTGAAACGTACTCCGACACCGCCATGCGTTATCGGGAGCGATAGATGGGCGGCTCCACGTTACGGCGAGTATATTGTCCGTATCGCATTGCCAGCCGCCATGTTGCGCACGTGAGAATCCCCGATTGTTGCGGGGGCTCGATTCTCGAATTCGTTCGAAACAAATGCGCATGCGAAAATTTTGCTCTCACGGAAAAGCACAAGGCGATTGGCTAAATTAATTCAAGAATCGAGCCCCGGTTGTATTGTACACGCACCGGTATAAATGCTGTCCCTATCCTTGTGAGGTGCACGCACACAACACCCCTGGACTCTAGTTGTGTGCGTGCACCTCACAAGGATAGGGACAGCATTTATGCCGGTGCGTGTACATAATGACCGCGTTCAGCAGACGCAACTGTTGAGTGAGCGCTCGGTATGATTGGTTAATACTTTTAGATCCAGCCAATCATTTTAAGAAATCATTGGCTGCGTTCAGCAGAAAAAGCTTGTTTGCAACTGCTGTAAAATTCGTGAATCTGATTGGCGTATTCTCTTCATCTTGAGTGAATTAAAGAGCATACGCCAATCAGATTCATAAACTTTACAACAGTTGTAAAGCAGCTTTTTCTGCTTAACCCCTGGTCCACAATCTTGCTTTAAGTAAGCTGTAAGCCTTAAGCCGTAAGAAATTAACCAATTACAGACATTTATTCCACTCACTCTCACCTGCGATTGGTTAATTTCTTACGGCTTAAGGCTTAGTCCCAGTCTACAATAGAGGATTTAAGCCCTATGCTTTAAGAAATTGACCAATCACGGTCAAGTACGAGTAGAATACGCGATTGTGATTAGTCAATTTCTTAAGGCTTAGGGTTTAAATCTCTATTGTAGACTGGGACTTACAGCTTACTTAAAGCAAGATTGTGGACCAGGGGTAATGCAGCCATTGAGCGCTCACTCAACAGTTGTGTCTGCTGAACGCGGCCAATGTCCAGTGAACTCTGTACAGTGAGGAGCAACGATTCGCTGGGTCGTAGTAGTAGTTCTAATTTATCGACGTGATTTACCGTTGGGTCGATAACGATCAAGACGCACGCGACACACAGAAATATGAAAATATGTAAATAACAAGCAGATTTAAAACTGTTTTAACAGTTAAAAGTGCAGAATTAAAACTGCTTTAACTTGTTATTTCAATACTTTCACATTTCTGTGTGTCGCGCGCTTAATAAATACATAATAAATACAATAAATACTGAAAGAAACAGGGGTTATTGCATATGAAAGAAAGACGTAGTCTGCGGTTCTACTTGATGCTGCTAAATATTCCGTAGCGTTCTTCTTCTTCTTCCTCTTAATAAAGAAGACGAATATTTTGAAGCTTCTGCAGCATTAAGTGGACCGTATAAGCGATAAGACAGTTGAGATTTTCAAAATCGCAGTCCTACGTTCTCCAGAATTCTCAATTGCGATTGGTAGATTTGTTTGTAATATTTAAATTTTACTACGTACATACGTTTACTATTCTATGGCTTTTAGGGTGTAGCCGGACTTTACATAGCGCATAAATTGATTGGTCCAGAAAGCATGTGCATAAAGAAATGGAGACCAATGGACGTGCTTGTGAACCAATCAATTTCCAATTCTACAAGGATCTGATTGGTACATATATGTATAAGCACGTGCGTAAGGAAATAGACCAATTAATTTGTCGTATGCACCTATACAAGTTTATACATATTTACCAGAATCATTCGATTGGTCGTTGTCCTCCTTGGTGCATTAAAATGTATATATGTATATAATTTGTATGGATTCGTGTAGCGGCGAAACAGTCCGAGCATGCGTCCGATGCGGAAATGTATCGATATGGCGTGACGCGCGATTAATCGATTTGACCTTGTGGCGCACTTGTTTCATACATATAAATTTATCTGATGTCTATTTTACAATTTACATCAATGCAGATTAAGGCTGACGGCAGGGAGCGATACGTAAAACGCTTAAGACTGTTAAGTTACGATGTAATTCACGCGCCTGCGCGGTACATACTGAAAGAAACAGGGGTCGTTGCATATGAAAGAACGTAGGCTGCGACTATCTTACAATAGTCGTAGATGTAAGGCAAGGCAGGGAAAAATGTAAGTCGTGAAAGGCTATTGTATACGACTCACGTTTTACCCTGCCTTGCCTTACGTTTACGACTAAAGACCCGAAACTAGATTAAACACACGAATAAACTTAAGCGATAAGACTTAAGAATTTCAACCAGTCAGAATTTTCAGCATTGTTTAAATTTCAAAATAGCTGTTTGCGTTTTCGACAGTCATTGATCATTTTCCTCAAGCCTTAAGTTTTACTGCTCAAGTTTTTTTCGCGTTTTCGGGCCTTTAGACAGTCTTAAGCTCGTATCAGATTAGGAATTGAGATTGAGATTAGATTGAAATTTGACTAATCAGAGTAAAGTTTACTAATATCAAGTTTAATAAATTTTACTTCGATTGGTCAAATTTCAATCCGTAACGTCTGATACGAGCTTTAGGCGTTTACGGATCGTTTTCTGCCATCAGTCTAACTTTAACCTCAGTTTAACAGACTTTTCATTTATTTCATCTTTTTCTTACTTATTATTTTTCTTAACTCTTAGAATAAGAAAAAGATAGAAAGTAATAGCGTTTTCGATTTGCTGACTCGACCCGACTCCGAGTCAGAAAATCGAAAACGCTATAAGTTAAACCGAGATTAAAATTAATTTACATCGATAGACGTGAATTGGCTTTTACGGATAGCGAGTTCCATTCGAATCGAGACTTTTAGCGTTTCGATTAAAGGCCGCTTTCGAACTGGCTCATGGCTGACGTGCACAGACAATTTTGCACGCAAATACCGATATACAAATTAATATTTAATTCCTTTTTTTTCCAAGCAAACTTCAACGCGCCGTTGCAATCGCTCTCGATCGCCCGAAGGATAAAGCGTTAACCGCGAAATCAATCAGGAATCGATGAACGCCACGTTATTAAAACAGCAATGGGTAATTGGCTGTTCGCAGGTTTGTGTCCCCCAATGGCTTTTTTTTCTCCCCAATTCGCTGAAGAATCGAAAATCTTTCTCGCGCGTCGGCACCACTGAAATCCGATTAGAGACACTAGGTCACTGTTAAAACATACAAATTTATACGCGCGACGGTGACGTTGAGTTATCAAAGATCAGCGAGGTCGAGGGAAATCAAGTTGTAAAATCGCAAACAGAAATTATGTACAAATCGAATATTTATCGAATATTTACGCGAATGCGCGTTTGACGCCACTGTCTCTCCCTCTTCCTCCGTCCTTCCTCGCCCCTTCCCTCCACTAGAGAACTCGATATAGAGCGAAGGGGAGTCACGTCTCCCCCTCTTTCACGCGCCGTGCTCTATACGCTTTTTACGAGAGAGAGACTGTTACACAATTGCTACAACTTGTTCCAGGCCGTCCAAAAAAGCGACAGGACATGACGAGCCCGGTGGTGATTCCGGCCACGGCTAGGCACACGGCGACGGTAGATATCAAGCTCCTCCTCAGCGGCAATTTTTTGGTTATACCCATTCGCGGTGGTGCGATCCTAATTGATCCTAACTGAATTACGTTTACGCGATGCGAGCTCCTCGTTGCGCCTTTCTCTCTCTCTTTCTTTCTCTTCTCCCCCGGATATCGCTGCTTCATTTCTACGCTCCGGTCGGTTTCCTTCTTTCCTCCGGACGAGTATGCACGTATTCCGCGAGGCGCGGCGGCTGTCGTCTCACAATTAGCGGGAACAATCAAACCGCAGCTCCCCCGAGAACGGAACGCCGGTCTTTCACACTGTGCTACTTTCAGTGACTCGAAATCCAGAGTTTTAAGTTTGAGATTTTAAGCCTCCTTTTTTTTAAAAAAAAAACACCTCCGAAATCAATGCTGTCGTATTTCGTACTAAAAGGCATCTGTGTTTCAGTTAATATTTTTCCATGGTTTGGGTGACACAGGGTGAGTTGACATTCTTAGCGAACCCGGACGCGATTCGCAGAGAGATAAATCTTGTTAGCACTTTGTACGTGATTCCAGGCACGGTTGGGCCAACTCCATGGACGCAGTGCGGTCCTCTCATATCAAAGTCATCTGCCCCACCGCGTACGTGACTGCTAATACCTTTAGATGTCCCACGACTGTGAGTTGGTAACATTTTAATATGCGACTCCGATGGTTTCAGGCCCACGATGCCAGTGACGTTTAACGCGGGGTTCAGAATGCCTTCCTGGTAACTTGAAAATGAACATACGAATATTAAGTTTCGACCGAGTTGAAATGTTGTACGGCCACTGATGCATCCCACGAATCTAGGTTCGATCTGCGCTCTCTGGACTCGAGTGGCCCAGAGGATGAAGAGGGTATACGTACGGCCGCTCAGACGGTCCACTCGTTAATAGCGGAGGAAGTTGCGGCCGGGATACCCACCACGCGTATCGTCCTCGGAGGATTCAGTCAGGGTGGCGCACTAGCCATGTACGGTGCCCTTACATTCCCGGAGCCTTTAGCCGGCATCATAGCTCTATCCGCGTGGCTGCCCTTGCATCAAAAGTTCCCGGCGGTGAGTGTCGTTGTATCTTGCGTGTAATAATGCAGAATAACAGTCGTAATAATTGTTTCCAGGAAGCAATAGGTAATAGAAACACTCCACTGCTGCAATGCCACGGCGATTGCGATCCAATTGTGCCATATAGATGGGGTCAGATGACGGCGTCTCTTTTAAAACAATTCATGACACAGACAGAATTCAAAACGTTTCGAGGAATGATGCACACATCTTCCGAGGAGGTGAGGGAGACCTTCGTCAAATCCTTTCTCGCATTCGAAGAAGGTTTAATTTGCCTGTCTTCTTTTTTTATTGTTTTCACAGGAAATGCGCGACATAAAGAAATTCATCGAGAAGGTCTTGAAGCCGTAATAGATGAAATTGGATATTGGCATTGGCATTTTATTGGCTACTTGAAGCATCTAACTGTACATTACATTGAGGTTATTCCAATTTTGCGATTATTTAATTTTAGTAAATTATACGAGCCTTAAAAGCGTTTAAGTAGAAAGTCGCGTTGAAAATCTTCCAAGGTATTGAGATGCACACAGCGCTACTAGGAAAAATCTATTTACTAGAGGGATATATTTATTTACCACCTTGATAATTTGTATCCGTACGTTCGAACACTTGTCGAGATTTTCATGTACCAAAGCGTTCGTATAGCAATACTACAAATTAATCCATGCGGTCCTCAATCCTTATAGTAAGCATCTATAAATTGGCATTCCTCGGCTTTTTTTCTTATATTTATGATGTCCGTTATGATGTTTACGGTATATGCGTACACTAGATATACATATATTTATAATATGTATATAAGTGCGTATGTATCGAATAAAATACATTGTATTTATTTGGAAGGCCACCGGCGTGGCGATTATTTAGAGGCAGTGCGAAGGTGGTTGATGTTTATTCATTTTTGCGGTTTAAATCTGCGACAATAGTACATTTACAAGTAAATTTATGTCAGATTTAAGATAACGCTAAGTTATGCTAGAGAAAGAGCTTACTGCGTCGGCTCTTAACGAAAACACTTCCAATTCTTTCGCGCCTACATTGCGTTTCGGATAATACTTGTTTTGAATACAAATGAGACACGTCCACGATGCACTTAATTCGCGCATTCGAAGCAGCTGCGAGAGCCTTTTACATTCAAATTTCTATTTCACGTGACTTAGGCCCGCGACGTAACATGAAATGTTGCTGTTGAATCACTTTTGTAGCGAGTATTGTCTAGAAGACAGTGACACGGCCATGTAATCTGTGATTACGCATTGTATTGTCGAGACCCACCAGTCCATCATTTATTATTGGTATAACATGGATCAGGGTTTCCTAAACTATTTCCTAAACAGCGCGATCCTTGGTGCGAACTCTTCAGGAAAATGTCTATTCTTGATACAGTCGTGCGAATTACAAACGTTTGCATCATTGTATGAAGCAGTATACTCCTTTAATACTTTGATTATCAGTTACACGATATAGAAAAGAAATCTTCAAAAAGTAAAACGTCAGTCCTTGTCTACTTCAAGTTTGGGAAATTCTGTGATATTATATGCCATAAAGGTAGCATAGACACAGTATTAATACATTGTAAAATTATATTAAAATGTATATAAAGTTATATGATACTCAGCTAACTTTATTATTATTGAGCATTAACACGCTATCCGGTAGGCAAATAATAACAAAGAACAATAAGCTCCGAGTATTTTTCATGAGTTTTCTTTTTACTACACTTTATAGCTAGCCACGAGGTAGGATATTAGCTCATAAGTTGTGTAACAACTTTTACCAGCATAAATAAAGCATGTCAACATGAATAAGTTGCATAATTATGGCACTAAAGACGAAGTACAAAGTACTAACAGTGTTTCAGTGTGTGGTGAGCTCTTATCTCTTTTTAATAACAGAATGGAAATGGTCGACGTCAGCATGAACCGGCTGTTTTTTTAAATTGAAGGAGATACCTATCTGGTAAACGATCCTCGAGTCCGCGACTTTTTGGAGAGCTATACATACCGGCAAGTAGTTCTAGAAGTGCGTCGTTACGGTGTTTCATTTTCCTATTCTTATTTTTCGATTAGAATCGTTATTTCTGACAAGCGAGTCGGGGGATTCGACGGAACGAGGTTATAACTGGGCGAATCTTGCGAGATCTGAATTGCCCGAAGACAACAACTTGCCAGGATGGCGCACGTAGGCCAGTACATTCTGAGCAGTCTGAAAAATGGAATTCAAAAGGTGGTGCTCAACAAACCCGCCAAGAAGAACGCACTTTCGCCCCAGGTAAACAAATGTGCGCGAAACTTGGAATATTCAAGGTACCCGAGTAATCGCACGTAAAACGTTCCACTCGTTCCTCGCAGATGTACAAGGAATTAACGGCGCTCTTGAACGAATCCGCTGAAAACGACCAGGTATTGTTATTCGCGCTGACGGCAAACGGCGATTTTTTTAGCAGTGGCAACGACTTGAGTGCCACAATGGGAGACGCTAGTCTGACTTCTGCCCGGGCTATAATTAAGTAAGCATCAGAGGAGAGAGATATCAAATTTGCAAGTTTAACAAAAGGAAATTAAGTCGACAAATACTTTGCAGGGAATTCATCGACGCTATAATTATGTACCCAAAGCTGTTAGTGGCTGTTGTAAATGGGCCAGCAATAGGAATAGCGACTACAATATTAGGAATTTTTGACATAGTTTATGCCTCGGATAAGGTGACGAATGATAATTGTTCGGTATGGAAATGTTAGACATGCTGAAAATATTATGCAAATTACAGGCGTATTTTCACACACCGTTCAGCTCCTTGGGTCTTGTCGCCGAAGGATGTTCTTCGTATACATTCCCGATATTACTGGGACATTCTAAGGTACATTTCAATAGCAATATATATATGCCAATTATTACTAATATATCTAGAAGTTTTTATAATAATTCTGGGATTGAAATGTCGATAATACATTGTAAAAGTATTTGTTCAGGCCGGAGATGTGCTATATTTAGGATATAAGCTGACCGCTCAGGAGGCTAATCAACATGGCTTGGTCAGCAAAGTGTACCATCACGACTCTCTTGAGGAAGTATGGAATTACTTGAACATGATATCTACACTTTCCTCACAGGTAATTGTTAATTTCTTTCGACGTACCTACGCTAAATCACGATAATAAAATTACTCGATTCATTTCAGTCAATATTGGCGACTAAGCGTTTGATGAGTAGATGGAAAAGAGAGATACTATTAAAAGTTAATGAGGAAGAAATGAAAGAGCTGAAAACGCTATTTGAGTCTCCCGAGATGTATGAGAGGATTGCAAGTTTCTTGTCGCGAAAAAATAAGCTTTAAAGTACATAAAATATTTTGCTCCTTAAATATTGGATTTAATACCTTGGAATGTATACACAATGGTTTATAAAATATATAGTTTTATAACAGTTATAGCTTTTGTAACGCATGATTTATATAACGCTTCGTTATTTAATGAAATTATGTCCTATGTATCGTTGAATTTTTAAATATGAATGTTATATTGCTACTTACTTCTGTTAACATTATATCCTACAAAGTAAATGTACATAAATTGTAAGCTTTAAATCGTAGTTTTCAATTAGTTAACATAAAATTGAACAACTTATTACCTGCATAACGTCAGATGGAATTGGTTGCTTATAATGATGCCAATCTCGAAGCTGGTTTATAGTTAAATTTTGTTGAGATGACTTATCGTTCAATGTAAATTGATAATCTCGCGTCTCATTATTTTTCTCTTTCAATTCTTCAGAAGGTAAGTGTTCCATCTGGCCGGAACAAGAACAATTCATTAAATCATGTGTTAATGAAATTGTATCATTTGCCAATGTAAATAAATCCTAAAAAGGAAAACGAAAAATTGCGCGTAACGACTTTCAAAGTTACCACATTTTTTAATAATAAAAATACCTTCAAGTATAAAAAATACCTTCAATTCCGCGGTTGATAATTTTAGAGATCCGAGGTGATTCAGATCCACCACAGACTCACTCAAACCGGCTTTGCTAATTTGTCTTTGATATATTTTTTCTTCTATTGTCCCAGTGGTCAAAAATCTATTTTGATTTCAAATTTGTTCACGCAAAATTACGTAAGATAAATAATGTATTACTCAACGATGTTAAAATTGTGCAAACCTATAAATGTAAACATCCTTCTTCTGTCCATCTCTCCAGATCCTTGCCATTGCTTGCACATCAGATGCAGGATTCCAATCGGAATCAAATAACACAAGTCTAGATGCGCCAGGTAAATTCAAACCGACACCACCCGCCTTTGCACTTAACAAGAGAATTTCTGCAAGCATTTTTTTGCGATACATTAATTTTTTAAGGACATCGTACGAGCGCAAGACACAATTGTGTCTCTTGATGTTTGCAGAACTTACTGCTGTCATCGGTTCGCGTATTAAACTGCTCGGTAATCTTTGATCGTTTAGAGGATGAGGTAGTACCATCTAATCTTAAGAATTTTAATCTTTCCATATTGCAGATGGTCCCAAGAAGATCAAGCGTTCGTGTGTAATAGGAAACCAACACCAACTTCTCGTCAGTCTTTTTCAGATTTCTCATTAATGCCTGTAGAATTGTGACTTTGCCACAATATTCGGTGAAGTTTTCGTCGCGTTTCATTTGCGACATAAATGACGCCTTTGACAAAGTGTCATGTAACACGCTCCCCTTTTCGTTTACGAACAGATTTGGATGGTTGCAAATTTTCTTAAGAGCAGTAATAATGGACAAATGTATGTTACTCTTGTCCTCTAGACAAATCTTGTCGAACCAAGCGTCGGTAACGAGAGAATATAAATCTCTTTGTTCCTTGGACAAAGAGCAAAACAGGACTATTTCATATTTGTGCGGCAGGTACTTGTTTATCGTTGTCTGCGTACGTCTCAGAATGAAAGCTTTGGTGCGTTCATATAATTCTGTGGATCTCTCTTTTCCCAGAGCGATAACGTCATCATCGGCGTAAGGACACTGAGATGCAACGACAGGTTCCTCGTAATAATGCTTGTACTCGGTAGGAGTCCCAAGAATGCCAGGATTAATAAAATCGATCAGTGTGTAAAATTCTTTTAAGTCATTCTGTATGGGTGTGCCCGTTAAAATAATTCGTTTCCTACAATCCATTCCGTGTAGCAGCTAAAAAATACATAAAAGGACATACGACTACTCATTACTTTACAACATTAATAATATAAATGTTGTCAATAGTGTATGTCAAGCGGGTGATTACCTTTGCTGCTTTCACATTGCTATTTTTCAGCCTGTGGCCCTCGTCACATACAATCAAATCAAAAGCGATTTCGCTAATCTCCGTATGGCATTTTACGAACATTTCATAGCTGATGATCATCACCGAATTTCTCGGATGAGCTTTAAAATCTTTGAGCCTGTTCTTTCCGCTCACAACATACGGCGACATCCTGTGGGAGCCCAACCATTTTATAAATTCCTTTTCCCAGTTATTGCACAAGCTACTAGGTGCTGCTATTAACACGCGTTTGACAATCGGATTGCCGTATGGACCCTTTTTCAGCATTGTCCAAATTAATGCGATACATTGTAGGGTTTTGCCGAGGCCCATTTCATCAGCCAAGATCGCGCCGAAGTAATCTGGCACTCTCAGTCCCATTAAGCATTCGTAAAGGAACACAATTCCATGGCGTTGATGTTCTCTAAATTTCGCCACTAAACAAGAATCAACCGAGACTTCCTGTTCTTTCAGGTCCGTCCATTCAATAGAATTTAAATATGGCATCACTAAGGGCTCACTATTCAATGCCAGTCCTTTAATATAATTTACTTGAAGTTCAATTTATTTAAATCAAAGGTTAACTAATAATTAATCCGTTATAAATTTGTAGGACCTTTCGTGGATGAAAACAAGGGCACAAATGCACGTGTCGAAGGTACCTTGGCCTTGTTTCTTAACAATTCCTCTACCGTCTCCTCAAGACTCTTCTCTGGTACAAACAGCTCTTGCGACACCTGATCCACGATCTAAAATCAACTTCATTAGACCTTTTTCACGTGCTGCATAAATGAACGTTAGTGTACGCTCTTACTTCAACTTGTTTGTTTCCTACAACCAATCTGGAGCCTTCTATCGCATTACTTGGATGGATTGTACCTCTTCCCAAAACATTACCATCCAAATCCTATTGCGTATATCAAAAGCATTATAACAATCTTCAAATTAAAAGACGCGTAATTAATGTAGCGATTACCTTAAGAATCGCCGTTTTGCCGGTGACTTCTAGCAAACCATCGCTGTCCCATGTTTTGTGCTTCTTCGAACTTACTTTGCCGTACATCACGTTGAATATACTACATCAATATTTATTTATAACGCAAGAGATAAAGATCAATCTTTTAACATTTACTTATCAAACAGTTACCTCTTTATCTTCGCTTCGGGTGAATCGGTAGACTCTTTCTTCTCGTCAACTGTAGCACTTTCTTTCCTCTCCGGTGACACAAATGCACCACGTATGGCAGATGTTTTAGGTTTTTTTCGTAGCGGTTTCTCCGCTGCCACGTCGGAATTCTTCTCCGGTACAGGTAGATCTTGTGATGTCTGGTCTAGAATCTAAAATTAACTTTGTCAGATTTTCCACAAGCGGCGTAGCGTAAACGAGAATCAATGCTCCCTTACTTCTATTTGTTTATCTTTTATAATTAATCTGGAGCCTTCTGCGACGTTGCTTGGATTGACTGTAGCTCTCCCCATAACGTTACCATCCAAGTCCTATCAGAAGCGTTAAAATATTAAGAAATGTTTACTGATTTATTATTGCAACTGTTAAAAAATGAATGGATGTCCTGAATTACCTTAAGAATTGCGCTTTTTCCAATTACTTCCAGCAAGCCGTCGCCGTCCCACGTTTTGTGTTTCCTCGAAGATATTTTGCCGTACATCACGTTGAATACGCTGTAAGAGAACAGTGTCTGTTTACAGCAAGTAAAATCGTGGTATTAATCAGCTCTGAAGACACTTTTAAAATACTCACATTTTTGCCGTTGCTCGGGGCGAATCAACGACCGGCGTTTCTTTCTCGCGTACCGGCGAAATGACGTCTCGTTTCCTCGATGGATTACTCTCCGCGTTGCCGACCTCATTTTCTTGAGTCACCGCGAACAAGTTCAAAATCTGTAAGTTATTCCGGGGAGGTTTTTCCGTCCAATGAATGGTGCTCTGCGCTTTTTCGTGACGGATGGATACCTTGTTCTCCTCACTTTCCTCGGTGCTTGGTCGCGGTTCAACGATCAGAGGGGACGTGAATCCCTTCACCGGCCTATTCCGATACATTATCAGACTTTCGAGCAACAACGTACGCGCGGCAATCCAGATTCCAGCGACCGGCCAGCTCGTCCGAAGTGTCCGAACTCCGAAGTCCGAAGGCGCGAAACCAGAGAGACCGCTGCGGGGCGCTGCGTGCGTCTCTGCTGGTAAAAAGCCTCGTCTACATAGAAGTCGTAAAGTCGTAGTCGTAAGAATAATCGACTGCGATTGGTCAATTTCGTCAGACACATAAGAATTGACCAATCATAGCCGACTATTCTTACGACTACGACTTTACGACTTCTATGTAGACGAGGCTTCATGGCACCATCACCGAGTGCGAACAGATCACTACAGTTATTTGGGGAGCAACTTCGCGCGGCAAGTCCAAAAGTTTTGGGAATCCGTACGGCCGGCGAATTTCACGGAGAATGGCGTTCTCGCAGTCGCATCAGCAGGAACTGATTGAATTGGCCGAGATAACGGGCATCTCCACGGTACCCGGCGTATTCCGGTAAGACGCTCCGCGGCGATTTGTCGACGATGAAATCCAGCCGACATAACCTCCACGCGCGATTTTATCGCGACATTCTCTCCGCTTTGTAGCATCGTGTTGGAATTACTGGCGTTGCAAGTATCTCCGGAGGACATTTACACGCTTCTCAAACAAATCTCGAAGAGATCGCCGAAACCCCTGAACCGGCGGGCGACGAATGAGGACGCGAATGCTCCTGGCTTGTCTAAGAGGAAGCCATAGTTGTTTATTCTTTTAGATCGACTGATTGGACAATTAATGTCCTTAATTACATACTTCTGTAAATGAAATGTACATATTTATGTAGATAAGAATGTATAACTTGTAAATTTGTTGGCAAGTCCGGTATGAAAAGATGTAAATTTTAATTTAACAATTTGTGCTTTTCCATCGTATTTACTTGTACTCGAGAACTAGTCATTTTTCATTCAATAATTCAATAGTCAATAAACTCAAGTAGGACCCTCGAAACTAAACAATATATGTGAACATGTCTAATGCGGGTCAACAAGGCAAGATGTAGGTAGCCCGACTTGTAGATCTTCAAATCTTTCAGAAAAATCGTGAATCTTTATACCGTTTTTTTCCACATTTGTACTACGCGCCAAATTGTTTTTCCGAACATAACAGTTTGTCTTTAAACGTGGAATAATTGTCGATCAATAGTCAATGATCCTTGATTACAATGTAGAAACTTGTGTACGCACAAAAGTATAATCATATTTTTTTGCAACCTTTTGTATCTGACAGCAATGTTTTGATTTTATTAAGATAGTCTAATCAGTAAGCGAAAGGGTCTATATATTAGATTTATTAATTTCGTAATAAAAGTCTAATAACATTTTCTATAGGAGAGTTTATGTATATAAAACTAATTTAAAGTCCTTTGTAGTGTTAACCTTCGTTCTTAAACTTGACTTTTATATCGCAAGCAGCCTTCTCTCGCCAGTTTGTCCGCCATCTCGTTACCGTAAATTCCTGCATGTCCGTTCACGTGATTCTAGAAAATTTAATATCTCATATTTCTCTCACGATACAGCACAGTACACTTAATTACAATCACAATTTTACATGTATATACAGTACCGGCCAAAATTATATTACCTTTCGATTTTTTTTGGCACAACTACGTTTAAAGTGTACGATGAAAAATTCGAAAATTGTAGTGTATTTTGTCAAATTTAATTACCCTTCGTGTACATACACTAGGAATCATCGATGCCTTCCCATATCATTTTAGGCACAGGTAGAACATACATTTTTCATGTATGCAGTGTCGGTTTTAGCAACATTGGCGCAAGATTATCGTGGTGCCCATTCAAATTCAAGGGCTCGAAATTCTTGAGAAAGAAAAGACAGGGTGATAATGTCGAACGACCAACTCCATTTTATTTTTTATTTTAGGGAATCTCTCTCACTCTCAAACTAGGTGAAACCAGGCAGCGGCGCCCTTACAGATTTGACGCCCTGGGCGATCGCTCAACCGCGACCCACCCTAACGCCGGTACTGCGTGTACGTATATGCAATATGTATAAATGCGTTTATATGTACGCAAATTCATGTGGAAAGGCATCGGTGATTCCTAGTGTATGTACAAGAGCACTGTATTTTTAAGTTTCTCCCCCTAGGGGAACGCAAACAATGGACCACACTGTCATTTGGCACAAGATGCACCTGGCATCAGGTATCTACTGTAAAACTATGAACACATTTGATGTAAAATCAATTAGAAAATGAAGAGGCCGTTAAGGACCGGGCATAGGTGCAAGTAGCCAATTAAATTAATAAGTGAATCCATATACATTTGATGTATATCTTGACGAAAGCTATGCTCAGGAAACCTAAAGGTGATATTATTTTAACCGGTACTGTATATGATATACTGCTGAATTTGATTTCTATAAGACTGGAAGAAATTGCTTGCCCAAGCAACGGTCAAGGACTTCAATGCCTCCTCCATTTCCAGGAGCTCCTTTTTGTTTATGACCGGCTTGTCGCCCGCTGTTTTCCATCCTCTTCTCTTCCAACTCGGCATCCACTGCGTGATGCAGGAGATGAGGAATTTGGAATCGGTATTGATTTTCAGCTTCTTGACGCCCGCCTTCTTCGCCTGCCTCGCAGCTGCCGTGACGGCCTGAATCTCCGCATTGTTGTTGGTAGCTCGTCCCTCCACCGGTTCAGATACGTTTCTATAAAAGTTATCAACTACATTATATCACGCGTATTCATTGAATTGCGACAGAGACAATAGACCGAGACTGAAAAATGACACGTACAGGGGATGATTGTCTTGGAACCAAACGCCGATTCCGGCTCGCGCGTTCTTGTACCCGTTTGAGCTGCACGCGCCATCCGTGTAAACGTTGACGTAGCCATCTTCATCCACGATAAGGTTCGCCTACGTAATCCCAAATTTGTCAAGTGCAACAATTTAACAATTTACTCTTGTCTACAAAAGCATATGAATCTCGGAAACCATAGGCTTGTTTTCTGTTCCTACACTAGTGAACTAGTGCAATAAATTGGAGTAAGACAAGCATATTTTTTCTCATTCTAGCTTACTGTTCAACAGTGCAGGAACAGAAAACAAACCCCATATCCCATAAAATTAAAAATATCGTTGAATTTCATGTGCGCTCCGGTAATAAAACCGATGAGAAATGGCGCCTTAGTTCAGTTTCTGAGAGAATTCACGATATTTCAAATTGAAAATATCGTGGAACTTAATAATATGCGCTCCGGTATTAAAATTGATAAAGAAAAAATGGAGTCGATTAGCTTCCGAGAGAATTCACACATTTCCTGTGATACACTGTTCGTTTCAAACCTGACACCGAGTTGAATTGTCCGAACCTTCGGGCGTCACTTTTCTCTTTTTGCTCGGCTGTTCGTTAGTATTGTCAATTGTCGATAAAGCTCTCTTTGAAACTGACAATAACGATTTTGTCGGAGCCACCGCAGACTGTTTACCACCAAGGGCGAACAGTTGTTTCGGCAGAGCCTGAGATCTGTGGATTAAAATATTAGCTTTGAATAATATTACTGTAATGAAATTTCTACGTCAGTAACTTCACAACTGTTTTAAAGGAAAAGCTATTAAAGTTTACCTCACAGATTTAACAATTTCCGACGAAACGAGGCCGCTCCTGGCAGAACTCGCCCCGGCTGGCGAGGAACGCTCTTTTATGAAGTTTTGAGCCTCGCTCTCCGTCGCAAATTTCTTATATATCGAGCCAGGAAACTTGAAGACCTGGGTGCTGCACTCGTCCCTATCGAAAGCAGAAACTCTTATTTCGAGGCTTTCGCCGATGATTTCTCAATTGTTTAAACTTGTTTCCTTACCATGTGGCGTAAATTCCGGGTTTTCGACCCTTGGCTACCGCGTAGTAAGGCATTTTGCTTAAGAAATAATGCCTCGTTAGAAATATGAAATTTAATTTCATCAATTTGCTCAATATAACCGTTTATTCGGGAGAGGTCATATCTCGGCTAATACGTTTCCACTTTTACTACTAAATAACATTTAACGCGCTACTTTTAGGATATCCTGGCAAAGAAATTGAAAACACCTTTTAGAAGAACCTTACACCAGTAATTTTCGTGCACCTTACAAATATATATCCTGTGTAATAGGAATAACTGGGAGTGCAGGTACGTACATCTGTAAAGAATAAAAAGTAAACAATTAAGATGCATCTTGAAAAAATTATGGGACACTTGTCTCCATGAGCAGCTTGTTTTCTCATATTAAAGTTTGCAGCTGCATTATTATTAAGCCTAATCTACAATGTGCTCTCTGCGTCTAGAAACATTCTATTTCGTAGTTAATGTATACGTTTACAAAATTTATGCAAGTTGATAAATTTTATATTATACATTGTATAATCGTACATTGTTGACAAATTTGTTGAGCGTTTTGATCTGTTTATATAAAATGGAATGTTTCTAGACGCAGAAGGCACATTGTAGATTAGACTTTATAGTTGCTAATTAACGCTTGCATAATTTTTAGACGAAACTGCAAGTGAGATTAGTTTGCCTACAATTTTATGTTCTTCTCGTGACTTACCTTTGCTCATATTTGTCTCGTTGATCGTAGGATAAATTCACAGCCAATTTGCCCGAGGAAAGAGGTTATAAATCGTCTCCTCACACCCCAAGCACTTTGCCTTTTCTTCCTCCTCATGTAATATTTCTCATTTTAAAGAGAACAGAGCTCTAAACTCCGAAGTTGTGAATAAGGCCAAGAGAACACTCGACCAAACGTTACAATCGTTACAATTGATCACAACACGCGAGAACCAAAGATTGAGAGACACTTCAGGTTTGTTCTTTGCAGCTGCGTTGCGCCCTTCTTCTTCTACCACTTGTAGTTGCGTTGTTTCTGATTTTCACTCAAAATGAGATAATTATATAATTTGCGGAGAAAAAGATAGAAGCTATATGGAGAATAAATGCATTTCTCCCATATGTACACGCACCGGCATGAATGCTGTCCCTATCCTTGTGAGGTGCACGCACACAACTAGAGTCCCTGTAGTTGTGTGCGTGCACCTCACAAGGATAGGGACAGCATTTATGCCGGTGCGTGTACACACGAGAAATGTATTTAAAACTCGACTGAAAGGTACGTTTTATTTGGCGCTCGTAGCGCACGTGGCATTATTCATCCTTGTTCAATATTCGCCAAGCAACGAGGACGATCCATCGCGAGCGATAAATGAAATGTACGCGCGCACCCTCGCTTGGATTTTAAATAAGTTTCTCGCGTGTGTACACGCATTTGATATCTTTTCTTTATTTTTTGGAAAGACAATTTCGAATAGTATAATTAAATAATATATTGATCTGAAATTATTTGAATAATAAGATTTATAGGCAATACAAACCTTGTCTGTTTTTATATACATTTATTAACATGAAGCTGCAATAATCGTACAATGCTATACACCGTTATGAAAAATACAACAATAACGTAACATTCTTATATAGGATAACTTCTTTAAAAAGAATTATATTCAACAAAGACAGAGCGTGTGTTAGGCTAAAGAGAAAATGTATAAATGATATCAACGATAAATATAAATCTCAATGTTAAGCGTGAACACAAATATCGAGAATAGAAATATAATAAATAATAATTTCGTATGCTATTATGTCAACTGGTCGTCACAACACGCACGGGAAAAAAAGATGTTCGCGCGTTATATTCATTCACGCAACAAATGTGTCGCCACGTACGGGCTTTTCAAATGCTCGTTAAAAGTCGTCCAAGATGGAGAAATGCAATATAAATAAGTGCAGGTTTGATCGCCGAAACATATCCCTGGTAAAATCACAAGTTCCTTTTATCGTGGCGGACTGAAATGCAGGTCGAAGACGTGGTCCAAGGCAGAGAGTGGACCTACTTAGCGATACTATGCTAGAACTTGCTCCAAGTTCTAGTTTTAAAGGCCTTGATCCAAGTTCTAGTTCCGAGAAATGTGTATTCCATAAAAGCTGCAAGTTGATTGGCTATACATTTCTCGGAACTAGAACTTGAA